GATGATTCATCGTCATCTTCTTCATCACTGCTTAGCGTGAGAATTACTGGTTCAATTTCGGCAGCTCGACGTCCACTGCGAGTACTGCGACCCCGTCCAGCACCGCCCGGACCACCACGTCCGCGCGTCGGGGTACCACTGCTAGCGGCACTGTTGCTGTAGCTAAGAGCACTTTTAGCTTGAGCTCGTGCTAATAAATCACTTCCACGACGTTTTTCGCTTGGTGCAAGCTCACTGCTGCCAATGGCTTTAGTCGCAGTCGTCTCACCAGCCGTTGAAGTGGTGTTACTGCCTAAACTCTTCACGCATGGGACACGCTTCGGTGGATCGAGGAAAACTCTTTTGCAGCGTTCGCATTTAGCATGGTCGTATCCGCTAAAGCCGCAGCTTTGACAGACAGCAAGAAATCCTTGTATAATTTTACGGGGTACATCCTCTGTTGCTGCTGGTACTGTGGAAGATTTGTTAGTAGTACTGGTTGTTGCTGGACTGTTAGTATGTGCATCTTTATGTGCCGTTTCAGGGACAACAGTAGAATTAGCAGTTTGAGCTGCACTATTCGCCGGATTCCCATAACTAGCAGTTGCCGTTGGCTGTGGAATGGTGCCCTGTGAAACAGTTGTATTTCCTCCGCTGCTAACTGAAGCAGAAGCAGAATTAGTTGCCGCTAAGCTGCTAGCGGCAGTTGCATCTTGTTGTCTATTCATTTGCAAAGTCTGTTCTGCGCGCGATATTAACTCGCTGGCAGATTCCTGAACTGAAAACCCGACAGTGACAACAAAATCGATATTTGCACCAGGATTCTCCACGCACTGTATGGTTGTTGAACTATCAAATGGCACTCCAACTTGTTCGAGTAGATCTTGAACGGTACAAGATTCACGTGGCAATGTGAATGTTATGAGACGTTGTTCACCAGACACCAATATTACCAACATTTTAGCGCTATTTCGATCTTTCTCCGCCATTTGCGTATTGTTCCGATTCTGCATGACATGTTGTGTGTGAATTTCGTAGTTGTTGTGCGAAGTGCGGTGAACTGCTGAGGACGACGTTGAAGTTGTCGTAGGCATTTGCGATTGTTGTGACTGTTGAGGCTGTTGAACTTGTTGGGGTGCGACCCGTGCGATTGGCACCATCCCTGTACTTCCGGAGGCATGCGTCGGTAACATTTTATTGGGTGGTTGTGGTCCACTCGCGCGTAGTGGGGCTTTCATTTGCAAAATAGTGGCTGTAGTTGTAGTGGCCGATCCAGCCGTGGGCGGATGACGTTTGCGATACTCGGCCAAGGTAATACATGTGCCATTTTGGGTGCGTACCAAACGCGTATCATCGTCCTCTTTGGTGTAGTAGCTAGTCAGTGTGGTGCCTACGGGGGGGTTTGTAATGTTGGCGGTCGAAACCGCCGGTTTTTGCTGATCCTTCTTCACCACAACCGCTTGAATACTGTCTTCTAAGTCCAATTCATAGTTACCACTGCTACTACCGGAACTGTTACTGCTTGCCTGCACCACTTCCTGCGGTAACAATTGGAGCACGGAAGCGGGCACCTACCAGCTGCGTTGCCCGTTGTTGCTGCTGCGCGGAACTTGCTAGTAACTGCAACTGTTGCTGGGGCGTTTCGGCAATGTTGCGATATATGTGTTTCACTTGTCCTTGTGGATTTAAAATTGTGATATTTTTGCCCTGAACTACGGCGTTCTGTATGAGTTGCTGTGAAGTTGATATTTGCTGTTGTGGCTGTAATTGTTGAGATTGTTGTTGTTGCTGCACTATTGTTGCCGTTACCTGTGTTCCTCTTCCAGCGAGCGATGCTCCACCGCGTCCTCCACGTGCGGCACCACGTGCTCTTGTACCGCTTGCGCCTCCTCGGGGCCGTGGTGCACGGGGTGTTTGCTGGTGTAGTTGTGGCTGCATTGATGCAGTCATCTGCGGTCGCACAGCCCGACTTACCGGAGCAGCAGGCATACGAGCGATCAGAGTATGCGTACCACCAAGAGCACCACCTCCGCGTGGTGACTTATTACGAATAGCACCGCGCATAACACCACCTCCAGACACTCCCCCAGTCAATGCTGTTGCCACCAATTGTTGCTGCGGTTGCTGCTGCATTTGCAATGGAGATTGCTGCTGCAACTGGGGCTTTAACTGCTGAGGATTCTGAACTGCGGTTGCCTGAATGGGATGAAACACAACATTTTGTTGAGGTTGGGGCTGTTGATGTTGCTGGACTGTCTCTTGGGGCGAGGCACCTACTCTCGTCTGAACAAGGCGCGCTGTCGTGTGCATAGGTGTTGTGGTGGAAGATGTTTGTAATTGTATATGCTGCTGTTGCTGCTGCGGATGTTGCTGATGCGATTGCGGAGATTGCTGAAGTACAGCCTGAGTCTGCGGTTGTTGTTGCTGTTGAGGTGAATACAAAACACGATTTGTGTTATAGATAATGCGTTGCTGTGGCATGGGCTGACGCATAATTATTTCCGAGTGTTGTGGAGATTGAATTAAAACTTGTTGACCCGAAGGCTGTTGCAATATGACGTGCGCATTGTTAAGCATCTGGAATGGAGGATGAGTTTTATTGTCAATAGTTTTCGCATGTCTGTGCTATATTTTAGATAATATTTGGGAAAGGCATTTTTATAAATCCTATCAATTGAAGCCAACTTCATAACCTTAGTAACTTAAGTGGGAAGTTTTTATGCAGAAATTTATTAGAATATATTAGATATTAGAAAACTGCTTTTGCAGATGTGGCAAATTATAGATGGTGTTTTTTATAAATCATTTGCTTAAAAATTCAAAAAACTTCGATTTGAAAAAGGCCTTTACATGTGAAAAACTAGTTTGCCAATTTATAATATGCACAATGTTCTTCGGCGCATACCTTTTTGTCGTAATTTTTTTTATTAGAACAAAAACCTAATAAATCCAAGTTTTAAAAATTGAACACGATTTAAGTTTTAAATATTTATCAACAAAACTTCAAGTTTTTAATCATAATTTTTAAAACAATTTCCAGTATGCTGTTCCTATTTTCATTAAATACTACTTGGTCTTATACATATGAGTAGTCCACTTGCAAACAGCGTTATTTGATTTTATAAAAAATAAGCCATAAATTCAAAAAAAAAAACGACTAGGACAAGTAACATCTAAATTGAATTTTCTTTTGTTACCTGAAAATTTTAGTAAATAAGAGCCTAGTAACATTATAACATAAAATAACATTAAATTAACAGTCTATACGAATCAAAGCAGTTTTCTAAGCTCATCAGATGATAGAGACTTTTGAAAGTTTGTAAATAAAAATGATAGCGACCTTTGNCTGTGTTGTTAGTGGACATGAAACTAATTTAAATACTGGTACATTACCCACCAAAAACTAAAAATCGAAAATTTTTTTGTCTTTATCAATCTCATTCGTTAGCCTGTAACAAAACACCGTTATGAGAACAAAGTTATAGCATTCTTGTACAAAATGAGCTTGGGTATATACAAGATATTTCAGATTATTAACTCGTTTGAAAAATTAAAGCTCCGCAGTAATTTCTACTATGATGTCCGACAGTTATAGTTATAGTATAAGAAATTCGATATTTGCTTTAAGAAATGGCAATGCTTGTATATCCGACTGTTGTAGAAACAAAGGGTACCCACAGTCCTTCGCTCTACATACGTATATCTAATCAGTAAGACCTAGCAAAGTAAACACCTATGTATGTATCTACATGTATATATATATTTGCATGATCAGCTCAAAAAGTTATTCGACATATCTTTTAGCCTCTCGCTATAGTTCAATCGTATATGTACATATATGCTACACGCTTTCTCAACCTCAGGTTATATGACTCTAATAACCGCACTTCAAAGTTTCATCAACTCTGCAGAGTTGTAATAATGCGACTATGTATATACAGATTTTCCGGTGCTTTCTTTAATTCGTTATTTTCCAATGTGAAACATGCATTTATTTCCTCTATAGGAAGTTACAATAATTTGACTGAGCTTAGGATTTTAAGATAATATCCCCTTACCTGAGTTTGTTGAGTTTGTGGTTGTTGTGTTTGCATGCGATAAACAATTTGTTGAGGCTGTTGTGGCGCCTGTATTGAATGTTGCTGATGTACAATTTGTTGCTGTTGCTGCTGCTGATATTGTTGTTGTTGCACATGCAACTGCTGCTGTTGTTGCTGCTGATGTTGCATTTCCTGTTGCTGTTGTTGTTGAACCAATGAATTCGGTTGTAATATCGGCTCGGTGGTATAATACAATTGCGGCTGTTGTTGTTGCTGCGTCTGTTGTGCCAATTGGTGATGATCCTGCGGCATTTGTTGGCTTTCATGAACATAATGCTGTTGCTGTTGTTGTTGATGGTGATGATCATACATCACTTGTTGTTGATGTTGTACCGCCTGCTGTTGCTGCGATATTTCATCACCGATTATATATTGTGTGGTTGATGCAGCTGGCTGTTGCTGGTACTGTTGCTGTGCTGGTACATTGGCTGTCTGATATACTACTTGTTGACCTTCGTTTAGCATTAATTGGTCTTCGGGTAAAAGTAATTGCTGAGTTTCGAAGAAATTATAACAGTAATGGAAAAAGGATAAGGAGTATAAGTACTAAGTGGACATTTATTGTTTATTGAATATGTAAATTAAGAGGCTAATACTTATAAATAATGAAATAAAATCTCGTTAATTTGCAATTCTGCATAGGAAAAATAAAAATCGTTTTCGATTAAGATATGTTTAATTTTGATCTATTAGTTTATTAGTTTCTTTAATGATGTATGCACTTTTTAGAATAATTAATTTTATTTATCTTTTTAAGGGGATAAAAAATCTGGATACAAAAATATAAGGCGTGAAAGAAATACATTAGGGGTTTTCATCTAACGTCACAAACTGCCGTTAACCGTGATAAAATTATTTATGTATTTAAAATTTTGCCGCACCAAATTCTTATGGCGAATTTCCACTAGGCATTGTAATGAATTTAATGACTATTAATTTTTTTAACGTAATAACTCGATTATTTTTTAATGCTTTACTTTGTCATTTGTGATTTCTGCCATTTAGTGCCTATTGGAAATCCGGGAGGAATGTTTTATATATATACATATATGACAGCCGAAACTATTACAATTTAAGAATTTTCCTCTACCTGAAAAACTTGAAAAAAAATATAAAACAAATTTGCACATCTCTATTTCTACATCAAAGCATATTAAATAATGTATATTAGCGCTACATTATAGATCTATATAAGTAAGTTTTATTTGTTAATAAAGAAAACATGAAAGTCTGTAAACCTGTGGTCGAGTATGGCCACCAACACCAGCATCCTCGCTTGCAACGTGCACCACTTGGACATCTGCGTAGATCTGCTTTAAATCATCGAGATTTTGTATTTGATAATATTGCGCCATTGGGGGCCCTCTCTGTTAATTAAGATAATAAAGAAGTTACATATTGTATACAAGAATTATGTTAATTCTATGGTACTTATTAAATGACTTTTATAAAGTACATATCACCACAACTTATAGCCCTAACCCCCGACCACTTTTTAAGATACATAAAGGCTGGTTGAAATGGTTACTTAAGCCCACTCCATTGCTGCGCGTAGTCCAATCTACTTGACTAACCATATTAGGTGCATTCATTAACTAAGTATGTGAACCGTATAAATACATAAACGGCAATCTCAATTTGTTAGAATTTTCGGGCAACCCAAAAGATTTTTTTGGTAATCAGCTGGAGAAATAGTCATTGGCCAGATATAAACTTAGACCATTGCGGTTACGTGGCGGCCGCTGTGGTGTAGTGGTAAGCAGTGCGCGCTTCCACTCCGCAGCGCCTGGGTTCAAGACCCGGTTAAACCAACATCGAAAAAAAATGTAGAAAAAGTTCTTTCTTAACAACGGTCGCTTTCGGCAGGCAATGGCAGACCTCCGAGTGTATTTCGAAGTAAAACTGTAGGTCCTTCCGCTTTGTGTTACAACATTAAGGCGCAAGCCACAAATCGGAGGAGAAGCTCGGCCAAACATTAATAAGTATTTGTGTAAGCGCCAATCTATTGTTATTATCATTGCGTTTACGTACATAGATCTGGCTGCCGTGGGAATGCACTTGCTGTTTCAGAGTGTACTGAGGATAATTTCGGATGTGTACTTGTACTTGCATACATGTGTACTGTTAGTCCCAAAATTGAGCGCCCGGCTCTTTTTTTATTAATATTCGCAACGTTTTACATCTTAAATTTTTTTGTTAATTTTGTTATAAAATATGGCTTATGTTTTAGCAAACTCCATTTAAACCCAAGAATTAAAATTTAATGTGCTATAAAACTGCATACCTGAATTCTTTTTAGAAATTCGTATTAAAAAGTTCGCGAAACTTTGTAGATTTTTCTAAATTTTTGTACACAGTATCATTCTTGGATTTAAATGGGATTTGCTAAAATACAAGCCACATTTTAAAACAAAATAACAAAAAAAATTTAGCGTGCAAAACATTGCGAATATTAACAAATAAGAGCCGTACGCTCAATTACAGTAACAGTATGTATTATTGTCTCAAAAAACTCTCATGGCTCATAAACGTAAGTGAAGTAACTAACAAAAATCTGATTTGTCAAAACAAAAAAGCGTAGAGCAAAAATATGTAGTCATGTAAAAAAATTTCCGCATCGGACCAGGGATGGAATTTCAAAATTTCACAATGTGCCTAATGGTCTTTAAAANCTTGTTGTTAAATAATCTTCACTACTACCCCCAAAATTTTGTACAAAATACCACTTTTCACTCATATTTTGTGTGATATACTATATTTTCTTTGTTCACGTGCGTATTTTATACTTTTAATATATATATTTTCATAAATTAATTAAGTAAAGCGCGTTTATAAATTCGTTCACGCGTTTTTAGCATTTTTCACAAACAAACAGAGATAACAATGGCCGACAGTAAGAGCAAATGTGTCTTGACATACTACTTGAGAATAGGACCCCCTGATTTCAAAAATACCCCCCCTTTTTTCAAGCAACCCTATAGTTCTTATATAATTTATTGTTAGTTTTCATATAAACGATGAATAACATAGCAAAATAACATAAAACTTGGTCTGCCAGACTGAAATTTTGAATAATAAAAGCGGATTTTTAATTCGGAATTTTCACTTAGTAGAATTCTGCTTTCTGTGTTGCCGAAGAAGGGGGGCTGAACACATTTTGCAGATACCACTGTAGCGGCTACAACAACCCCGCCCAGATAGGCTAATATCTCAGTCGTTGTCGTCAGGTTCCACTAGCGGCAGCCCCAAGAAGCGTGCAGCCTCTATGGGTTCGGCCCATAGGGACGACGCCGTTAAGGTTGTGGGGTTTTCCGGGCATGCGAAGAGATGTTTCGAGTCGTGTCAGTTTGCAACCATGTGTTATTGTATCATGATTGTAAATATGGGTGCAATGTTATGTAATTACACGTTAATAAAAGTTGGATTAAAGCGATTTATATACAAAGTAAAATAAAATAATAATGTGTAAACTATTAGGTAGTGTTATGTCGATTTATATATATGAAAGTATGTGACAAATGCACTCTTTGATAAGGAAATCAAATGATTGACGCAAGTGAAAATTGTGATTTTTGGCCATTTTTCTAAGGGGTCCCTAGGGAACCATAGGGGCTCTAGGTGGTCGGGGGTTGCATTTTTGTCATGCCCTCTCCAAAAAGGTCCAAAACGGTTACATCGATATTTCGATAAATCGCTATAAATAATTTCAATTTTTAATAAAACATCTTCATTTTTTTATTGCTTCCGTTTTGTGTTTTTTTTTGCAGGTGTTTTGGTATGTATGGCAGGACCAACATTTTAGTTCAATTGGTGTGCAAAGGAAAAAGTGAGGCTGAATTCGGCATTTTTTGTAGGTTTAAATGCGAATTACTTAAAAACTATAAGCCTCCGGAGGGTGAGGTCTTCAGATTTAGAGTCTGAAAACGCTCCTCTATACTTCCTAATATTTTTTTTTTCAAAGCTTGGATCTGTTTTGGAAAATTTTCCCGATATAATAGGCCATATTCTTGATTTCGTACGAATCGAAATTTAAAGCTTTCGTGTATAATTTCTAAACAAAAACTTCAACTTTTCGATTCATCCGAAAACCATGGTGGAATTATACCATGTACGAAAACAAGAAATCGGCCCAATATTTGTTTGGCTAAGTATGCAGAAATTGCTTAAACCTTAGATACATACACACACACTTAAGTATTTACCTCTAAAGGTCAGTTAGGTGCCTTCAAAATATATTTCTTAGATCTGGCAGATTTTAAACCATCAGCGCAACAGATAATAGACATTATTTTAATAAAGCTGTATGTTTACGTTTAAATAGGAACAGTTAAAATTTGTAATTCATGAAGTCAACAAATTGATTCTTTTTGTGAGTGATTTCTCACACAGATTTCTCATATACAAAATTCCAAAATTAATAAATATAAATTAATCCGAGATTAGACCGATAACTTTTTGGTGTGGAACGTAGTATCGAGAAACGTCTAATGTGAAAAAATCACACTAGCAAGCACGATGGTATATGAATATATTTTCAGTAAAATTTTGGGGAAATCTTTAGCTATTTGTACAACGATTTAGGGGTGGGGGCGGAGGGGGAGTTGGCGTGGCTCCCCAAACCCCCCCTAAACGAAAGGCGATAGACGCCGCTTTATGTAAAGTCACCTAAAATCGTTGTACAAATTCAGACTACCCAAATTTTGAGCTAAACTAAATTAAATTTGCCTGGTTTACACTTGATTAGTAGCAAAATAGACAATTAACTTATTGCGATTTCGTTTCTGGAAATCCCCCTCTTCTTAGTGTTTGTGCTTAGAGTGCGAAGAGGTTACATTTTCCGGTAGAAACGAAATCGGCATTATTGACTTCGAAGTGTCGACGTATTTTTTACTTACGTCCCTAATGTAGATATGTATGTACTTAGAATATTTTTTCTAATTCCTCATTGGCGTGAGAGGATACCCCACACGATACAAGCAACTGTTTACATTTGCCATTTATTGCTCTTTATCTAACTCCCATCTTCCAGCAATCCGATTCCGCCAAGGCGCGGCCTAATGGTAAATGAGATAAACAACACATGATGTCAATACAATGGCAAACACCTTTTTGCACGATCTCGCAACGTCCGAGAACACCAAAATCACTTAGGACGGTTGACAAACTAAAAACGCTTCGGACCTTGCTTATTTATTATCTGTATAGCAAGCAGATTGGAAAATTGAGATTTCTATATGAATGAATAGGTCGGCTTTTAAAGCATACATACTTATTTTTTCTTACTACATTTTTCACGAGCTTATAAAGGCCTTCCTTCCGCGATATATATAAATATACATAAATATTTGTTTTAAAAGGTATATTCCTTTTGAAATAGTGTCTCGGAATTTGGTCTTGGCTTTGTGCTTCACAAATATAAGCACTCGGCTTTATGTATATCGCCTCGGCTTTTCAACAAAACTGAAGTACACCATCACGAAAACATCTGACAAACTTTTCACAAATTACACAATATAAAATCCTTTTGGACTCACATTTAATGGCACAATATCGATGTTAACGATTTGCTATTTAATTGCTGATAATCTTTTCCGGCAGTTCTATACACAGGACATTTTGTATAATTCCAATTATGACACCAATATCAGGTTAAAACCTCACAGAAAAATTGCTTTCTTCTTGCGTAGAAATCAAATATGGCGTGGAAATCGAGTAAACTTCCCCGCTCCGCACTCCGACAAATGACATTTGAAGATGAATACTTTCGATATTTCGAACTTCGAATACGCGCACAAGGCCGCCATCGCGCTGCTCCAATAGCGACATCTGGATGGTAAATGCATTTTGACATTCCGTTTTCCGTTTGTTTTTCCGCGAAAATCTTCAGCGGCAATTGTATTGTGGTTGACATTTTCAGCCTTTTGTTTTGGCGCAAACAATGGTCCCACTAGGACTGCGTATTTTACACCAGTAGCAGATAGTGGTACCACAACTTTGTTTTTTTAAGGTGTTATTCAACACAATTCAGTTTTAAGAGCGTTCTTTGTTAAATATATACTTATCAACATAACGTTCACTTAAATGCACTGCTTAAGCACACAATTACTAATTTCAATAAGTTTTCCTAAACAAAAAAACAAACTATTATGGAGCAACCGTACGGAAACCGAATCCAAAGCGAACGTCAGATAGTTTGTGTGTGTATGCTAATCTTTGACGTTTATATTCTCAGATGTTTTTTGTTGATTCTAAAATTTTATTTACATTCAAACGTCACTTTAGAACTGTGGTTGCCACCTAATTATACTTCTGAATATCAAGATGGATAAAAAATTAACTGCCTCGTATTAGGGGTATTCATGTTGTTCTCTCTTGCGGCGTGTTTACATCAGGTTTGTATAGTAACCAATAGTCAGTACTAATTTGTACTGGAACCTGCAAATTTTTATTGGAAAAGTGTATGATAACCCAAAAAATTTGCAAGAGAGCACTGAATCGGGAGCGTAACAACACGGGAGAGCTGTAAATTCTTGCTAGTGAAATTTTTACTAGCAGAAGAAGAAGAAGAATAAATGTCAAAAGCCGCCATTGGTTGAGTTGGTGTAGCACAAACAGAAGTAAAATGGGTGGAAATCAAAATGATAATGATGCACTGGACGGTGTAAGTGCTTGTGTATAAAGCAAAGAGTTTAAAACTGATTTATAATTAGTAAAATGTTTACAGGAGAATATCGAGACGTTGTAACAACTATTCATTTGCAAGTTTTTACTTGTTTTGTGTTCAATAACTTTTCTGTTAGTTTTCTTTCTTCTCAATTTTACGCTCTATTTCGCTTTCACGCTGTCGCTGCTATGTTTTACTAGAGAAATTACTATAAAAACCTAAATTTTTTTAGTTTATTGGGGACGCTATCCATTTAATTTAAGCGCAAGGGCTGATGAAAACAAACATATCAAGGAAAAGAAAAAACAAATATCAATTGGTAATTAAGTTAAACAATTAAAGTTTTTCAGACCCAAAATCGAAACAGCGCAATCTTGCATTCTGTCGGTTTTCAGTTTGCCTCGTATAAACAGGCGCTAAAGAGAAAAACTTGAGAATACGGCAACTTCTTATTGAAACGTCATTTCTCTTCGACGTCACTTTTTGTTTAATGAAAATGGATGAAAATGAGTCACAAAAGTATTTGTGATTTACAAACGACGTTTAATTAAATCTATTCTAAACGTTTTATTATTAACTGTATCCCGGAAAAGCAGTAGATATGTTCTCCAGTGGTCCAAACTATACAAAGTTAAAGACGAATCTTCGTCTCGCTTTGAATAGGCTTAAATTATTGGAAAAAAAGAAGGCTGAACTAGCGCAGAAGGCACGAAAGGAAATTGCAGATTACTTGGCCACTGGGAAAACGGAGCGGGCCCGCATTCGAGTAGAGCACATTATACGGTAAATTAACGAACCTTGTACATATATATTTGGAAAAAAACAACTTTTGAAACGCTTTGAATCATTGAATAGTGAGGATTATCTTGTGGAAGCTATGGAAATAATTGAAATGTACTGTGACCTCCTCTTGGCCCGTTTCGGTTTAATTACGCAGATGAAAGAATTAGATGATGGCATTGCTGAGGCAGTATATAGTTTGGTGTGGGTGTGCCCGCGCCTGCAAAGTGATGTGGCCGAACTCAAAGTGATTTCCGATATTTTCATTACTAAATACGGGCCTCAATTTGCCGAGCATTCCCGTACTGCAACGGGAGAGCATCAAGTATCTGGAAAATTGATGAATAAACTCCAGCTTCAAGCTCCGCCTAAACTGTTAGTGGAAAAGTATTTAATCGAAATAGCTAAAAATTATAATATCGAGTATGAGCCCGACCCACAAGTAATGCAAGAGGAAAAGGCCAACAGTAGGTGTTTCTGTATCATTTATTTATGTTTTTTGTTTTCAATCAGCTCGTATTTGTTTTTAGGCGATCAACCACAGGCACATTTAATTGATTTATCAGACCGAAATAACTTGGGAGGTGGTGGTGGAGTAGGTCCACCACCTCAAATGGGTTTTATTGGCTACCCCTCACTTCCTCCTCTGCCAGACCCTCCAGCAGCAAAGCCATTCAATTATCCACCACCTTACGGTCCAGGGCCGGGATCTGGTGGTGGTGGATCTGCAGCGTCTGGAGCCACTCCACCACAGCCGTTTGCCTATAATATACCACCAGCTCAATCCAATTATGAGCATANCGAAATAACTTGGGAGGTGGTGGTGGAGTAGGTCCACCACCTCAAATGGGTTTTATTGGCTACCCCTCACTTCCTCCTCTGCCAGACCCTCCAGCAGCAAAGCCATTCAATT